GGAACTGAGGATTGGGCGGGCGGAGCATGCGCAGTATAGATAATGTTGACAATGTTTCTCTTGCAGAGCTCTGGAACATTCCGAGAAGACCAGCGCAGGCGCTGACTTAACCCCTTATTGTGTGCATTCACAGAAGACCACGCAGAAGAAGCCTGCCTTTCTGAAACTGGAATTCAAAAGAATAGGTACAAAGTTGAAAAGACCTCTTGTCCCAACATAAGTTTTTTTTTTTAAAAAGGTAGGGAGGTTGAAGCACACCCTTCTGAAAACTCTTATGTTAAAACTAACAGAAAATTATTCACCCCTTAAGTGAATAAGGTTATTGAGACCATTTTGAGTTTTCAAAAGTTAAACCCAGGCTTCTGCAGCTTTTTTGACCCTTCCACTGGCTTAGACTCATACGGCACATTTGAAAACAAATTAAGGCATCCCTATGCTGATCTTATGGCAGCAGACCAGCCTGGCTGTTATGATACCAAAGCATGTATCACAACAGCCAAGTTAGTAGTGGCTAAAAGCAGTCACAGTATGCAAAGGGGGCAAAGAATACTCTTGGTCATGACTGCTCCAGAAGTGGTGGGAAATCACACATCATATCCACATACACCGTTGTTCAAAGTTAGCACAGCCAACAACTACTCATGGATCAACTGAAGACCCATCCTTACTCTAAAATCCATCTCTGGATTGATATTTACTGATCCACTCACAGTCAATCTCCATTCCTATAAATCCATTCATATGATTTGGCTCCATGTAAAGGAGAAAGAGAACTGAATGATACCAAGCTTACTTCTCTAGCAATCTACCTGGCTCTCAGTTCCTAAGCTTATCTATTCCTTAAATCAGGTGGGTATGGGACATTTGGTTCACCAAATGTTTTAGATGTTAATTTCCAGAAGCCTCTGGCAGCAAGAAAGGATTGGGGAAGATGTGGACCAAAAGCTTCCCATCTCTGTTCAAGATTAAAAAATTATAACAAAAAAACCTGTGCAGATATGTTTTCTTCAATGAAAAGGACGGCTCGGTTTTTGGGGAAAACTGTATCTAATGTTATGAAGAACTAGGATGTGGTCAAAGCTGCACACAGTAGAAGGAACATCAGAAGAAGAAAGAGTGGAAGACCTGGGAGAATGCTGGAATGGTCCTCATTCCCACTGGTAAGAACAACCAAACACCTGGCTTTCAATCTCCAAGCCAAAGGGGAAAACCTCAACTATCCCACAAACTGCACCAGAGCACAGACAGAGTTCTGACTCTTGTCTTCTGAAGATGCTGGCCACAGAGACTGGTGAAACGTTAGGAAGAAAAACCTTTGGAACACGGCCAAACAGCCCGAAAAACCTGCAACAACCATTGGATCCTGGCTGTGAAAGCCTTTGAGAATACATTGAAACATCTATTATTTGGCAAGGACAGAAGCAACGGAGAGTTGTTAATCTACGACGTGTTGCCTCAAATCTCCATGCAGAAAACAATTTGTATGTAGAGAAGACATTCTTGTGCATGTATGGGCTCTACCTGTGAGAAAGAACCCTAAATGTCCAAGGTTCTTGCTCCATTTTACAGCCTGCATACAAGCAGGAACGTCTCTGCAGATGAACTACTTTCCATGTGGTTAAAGTGGTAACAGAGAGGGGAGAGGAGAGGCACTCATTACCTTCTAAGCACAGTGATTCCTTTTGAGTACCATAATGTCAGACATGTTACTAAAAACTTACATGCATTAATGTTCTGTTGGTTGCCAAGATCCCAATACTGGAATTTGCAAGAACATGGAGGGCTAGTGTGGAAAGGCGCTTTATAAAAGCAAGAGCCCTCTGCTGGGACACCTGTTTCCGACGCTTGGTGAGCATCACATCCAAGCACTGCAACATTATTGCCACATCTTCATTTGTAGCTCCTTCAATACAGAGGGATAAAAATTCATTTTAGGATGGAAACGCAAATCCTGAATAACACCTGAAAAACTGAAGGCATCCAAAATTCTTCTTCTATCCCTTTTGCTTTATTCAAACAAGATTCACAATTAAGAACCTTAAAAGTTGTCTGCTATGCGAAGGGGGGGCACAATATAAAAATCCACTACAGATGTATACTGAAGGCTAATTCTAGTTTCTTTGGTGATGAGCCAGAGGAATACACATCACATTTATCTATGAATTAACTATCTAGGCAGGGATTTTCGACCAATCTATCACAAAGTATAAAAAGCAGCTTTCAACCTTTTAAATCACTAAACAATGCTAACTACAAGATGACAGTCACAAACTAAGGTACTGAAGAGCAATGCATTTTCAATTATATAGATACAGTGGTGCCTCGCTTTACGACTGCCCCACATTACGACGAATCCGCTTTACGACGATGGTCTAAATGGGGGAATTTCACTTTGCGATGATCGGTTCCCTGCTTCAGGAACCAATTCTTCGCAAAATGATGTTTTTAGAACAGCTGATCGGCGGTTTCAAAATGGCCGCTGGGTAATTAAAATGGCTCCCCGCTGTGTTTAGGGACGGATTCCTCGCTATACAGGCAGCGAAAATGGCCGCCGTATGGAGGATCTTTGCTGGACAGTGAGTTTCTACCCCATTGGAACACAATAAATGGGTTTCAATGGGTTTTTTAATTTCACTTTACGATGTTTTCGCTTAACGGCGATTTTCCTG